CGGACAGGATGAGGAGTGCTACCCGGTTGTCAACAAAGTCGTGATGACACTCATCGGGGGATTTCTGACTCGCTGCGCCGCTGGAGCTGGCTGACGGCACGGGACCATTCTGGGTGCGACGCGCGATGCGACTATCATTCTGATGAACGCGATGCATATCACACCACGTCAAAAAAACACTTCAACTCATCTCTCGGTTTCTTGACCCCACGGCCCCAAGAAACACATCCGGGCGTCGTCCTCAGGACTCTGCCGCAACGGACCGCGGTGCTGGCCTGTCCAGAGTACGGTGCCCTTGCCTGGGACGGCAGTCGAATCCGGGACAGACGTCGCCTCGAAGTCTTCATCCTCGTCGGGCAGGTCTTCAACCCCTCGGACGCAACACGCGTGGCGACGTCGATTTCCTTCACAACATCAGCGGCGGCACTTTGGGCAGCAGCCCTCGAGGCAGCAGCGGCGCCCGGGGCAGCAACCATCGAGGCCGGGGCTCTGCTTGGCGCGGAGAAGACCACAAATCACAGAACTCCTCTCCAGCCTTCATGAAGGTTCAGGGGTGCTCCGGAGACGCAGCCGCGCGCTCGCGCTCGAGGCTGTTTCGAGACAGCGTGGCGTCGGGCGAAACAACCTCCCCCAGGCATCTTTTGCATGCGAGTTCCACGACATGGCCACTCGACAAGCTGACCGTTGCTCTCTGCTTCCTCGCTCGAACATGCCCTGCGGCACTGCGTGGTGCGAGACGAGAAAGAAGAATCACAAACATCTGACCTGGCTGTCATACCTTTCCAATATCGATGTGATGGACGGTGAGTGGTGCAGCAACATATGCAGTGGATGCGAAATGCTGTTCGCCACAGTCCTCGCGCAGCTGGAGCTCACGCTCACCTATCAACGCTGACATGGCCGTCCTGGGTGTGCACTCGCACTCGGGGTCCCTGGACCACTGGCCACCCTTATGGCAGACCTTGCATGTGGAGCGTTTCTTGATGTCTTCGAGACGTTTCTCACGATCCTCCAGGGTCGGCGTTCTTCTGTCACCGTCCTTGGGTGGCGAAGTCTACCACAAGCTGGAGCGGTAAGGGCGCGTGTTTATTCGCGGCGACAACGGGCTTTGCGGGCGGTATAACGTAACGCCCCCCCTCCCGCCGTGTGGCTCTGGCATCACAGCGGCGTCCGCGCGCACGACAACGATGTGCGACGACGACGACCACGACCACAACGACGACGACGACGACGACGACAACGACGACGAGGACGACGACGACGACGACGACGACGACCGACCACGACGACGATTAAAGGGGGTAGGTAAAATGGTAGCGTTTTCGCGTGCAACACAGCGCCTGCGAGCACGAGCCACGACCAGGGGCCACGAACCACGATCAGTTCAGCACCATCTGCGCGCACCACAGTCCCTGTGGGCACCACAATGCATGCGTGCACCTCTGGGGCCCTGTGGGGTCGCGACGCTGCCACATGCCAGAAAAATCGTGGGGGCGGCCGGTATTATAAAATCCGATGTGCGAACTGATTGTGATTATTGTTTTTCTTGCCCTGCGTGCACTCCTGCTCTTTGATCCCACGACGCCTGTGTAGGCCATGGCCACCGCGCGCACCACAGCGCCTGAAAAACGGAATCGCAAGGAATGGGGAAGAATGGGGACGGCAGGTAATGGTAGCGCTCTGTGTGCACCACAGCGCGCGTGCGCACGAGCCACGACCAGGGGCCACGAGCCACGACCATTTCAGCACCATCTGTGTGCACCACAACACCTGTGCGCACCACAAGGCCCGCGCGCAGACTGAGGTCCCGCAGAGGAAGGGAAGGAGAAGGAGGAGGAGGAGGAGGAGGAAGAGAGGGAGGAGGAGAAGCAGGAGGGAGAGTTTTCACCGGGAATACACCATCACAACTTCGGATCCCACTGCGGATCCCAATTCGGATCCCTGTGCGGATCCCTATACGGATCCCGAGGCGGATTTCTATGCGGATCCCTGCGCGGATCCCCAATCGGATGGTTTTGCGGACCCCGATGCGGATGCCGATGCGGGTGCCCATGCGCATTGCCATGGGAATCCCAATGCGAATCCCTGTGCGGATCCTCGCGCGGATCCCTGTGCTGATCCCGATGCGGCTGCGCGTGCGGATCTCTATGCGGATCCCCATGAGATTCCCAATGCGGACCAGACTCCCTTTATGCGCATTCCTTTGCGGACGACTATGCGGATCCCGATGCGCATGGCGGCAGTGCTCGGGGCGCGCGCACTGGGGGGAGAGGGGGGGGAGGGGGCGTTACGTTATAGTGGGGGGGGCCAGGGGCCATGATGACCATTATGCCCCAAGGAATACAGAAACACGGCCTTTGCTGCTGTTCTTGCCTTTTCTCCTAAGCGCCGAAGTTGGCGGCCAACTCTTCCTGGATCACATCGGAGGTTCCTTCTTCTGTGTAGCCCGCATTGACCATCCCATCGATCGCCTCAGCGTCGAGTTCTCCTTCCCCCTGCACAAGCGACCAATGAGCGTGCGGTTTTTCGTCGACCCAGACTTGGTCCCCGTTCGGTCGTTTGCAATCCAAGCCGCGTCGGCCCAAGGTGTGTCGTCCCAGCTGTACTCGGGGGTATAGCCAGACGCGTAACATCCGAAGGGGTTCCATTCCACAGGATAGTGTTCCCCGTACTCATGCCAACTGTCGTCGGCAGCGCGGTCGGCCTCTGGTGTCCTAAAGTGCCGGGTCTTGCTCCTTCCCTTTCTCTTGTTCGGGTAGCCGGGCTTGTATTGTGCAGGAGTGAAGCTCTAGCCGGGGGGGTCTGCCTTGCCCTTTGAAGCGGGTGTGGATGCGTCTGTGCTGAAGAATCTCAAATCTGATCTTATTCCAGGTGGTCACGCTACCTGTGGATGTTAGTACCATCGGGTTCTCTGAACGTGAGCGGCCTGCGTGGTCCAAGGGGCTAGATCCAAACATGTCGTCGGTCATGACCAGCTTCGGGTCAACATTCGTAACAAGTGCCAACCAGAGCTTTTACGCCAGATGTGCAAAACCATTACCTCTCCATTCTGTCGTGGCATGGACCCACAGGGTCTCTGTCCTACTTTGGACAGGGTTGTGGCTTCTTGGGCTTCGATGGGGAAGCGCGAAGTGCAGATCGCCAGTATCAACTGGTACACTCCTTTCGCAGTCAGAAGCGTGTCTTTACCTGCAGCCATGGCTATATCGAACCCGTCCCGTCGTCTCCGAGGCCTTCGACAATCTTGTTGACAGGTGTGGGCAGCCCCTGTTGTTGTGGTTCTCCAGTGTCGGGGCCTGTGGCGGCTGGAGCGGCGTTCATGCGCATCTGTGTGCGGAATCCCTGTTCGTGGGAATTGTTTACCGTGCCGTCGTAGATGTAGGAGCCTCTTTCCGTCTCCGATCGTGTCAACGCGTCAGCGTTCGGACGGTAACGAAGATAGGACAATGCCATGGTGGCGGAGACAATCCCCTCCTAAGAGTGGCTGCTTGGTGAGGTGTGGCGGAGGCGCTCTTTCTCTCTCTCTCTCTCTCTCTCGGTGTTAATATATTTCTTGCTGATTCTCTCTCTATAGTCTAGTTATATGTATTTCTCTCTCTCTCTCTCTCTCTTTATTTCTTTCTCTCTCTCTCTCTCGCTGTCTCGCTCTCTCTCTCTCTCTCTCTTTCTCTCTCTCTCTCTCTCTCTCTCTCTCTCTCTCTCTCTCTCTCTCTCTCTCTCTCTCTCTGGAAAAGACGAGCCCTGCGCACAGTGGCATGATGCCGAAGATCGAGTCGCAACCCCGTTGCGAGTGTGAACGTTGATATGTTTCAGCCTTTGGCGCACAGGGAGCCCTAGGAGCCAAACGGCGGCGAATGGCGCTGGCCACCTGTCCTGCACGCACACTCTCTCTCACCTTGTGGCACAAGGAGGGGCCTTCAGACCTACACATGGGGGCTGCGCGCTCAGGCTGCACATGGGCCCGCGCTGCGAACTCCCCCCTCTTCTCCGAACAACCACCGTGCTACCATATGAACGTTAAGTAAAGAACGAAGGGACTTTCCTAGCCACGGCGAACCTCGGTTTCTCCCAGCGTTACCGCCCGCATGCGTCCCCCCACCCAATACAGCGCTTCGTGGCCCCATAGGGAGCTCCACCGAAGATCCCGGTGCTGCCGCCGGCATGCGTCCCCCCACCCCATCACAGCGCTGCGTGGCCTCATAGAAAGCTCCACCGAAGGTCCCAGTGGCAGCGTCCGCAAGCGTCCCTCCCATCCAGAACAGCGTTCCGTGGCCCTACAGGGAGCTCCACAGCAAGCCCCAGTGGAACCGTTCCCATGCGTCTCCGATCCCCTACCCAGCACAGCGCTTCGTGGCCCCGTAAGGAGCTCCGCCGAAGGCCCGCTTCGTGGCCCCAGAGGGAGCTCCACCAAAGGTCCCAGTGCTACAACCCGAATGCGCCCCCTCCCCCACCCCATCACAGCGCTGCGTGGCCCCATAGGGAGCTCCACCGCAGGCCCCAGTGCTACCGCCCGTATGCGTCTCTCCCACCCACTAGAACGTTTCGTGGCTCTCCGGGAGCTCCACCGAAGGACCCACTGGCAAAGTTCGCATGCGTCTCCCCCACACAGTACAACGTTTCGTGGCCCATAGGGGGCCCCACTGAGGACGATACACAATTGTGATACTCACAACTTCATATGGTTGGGTCCTTCGCCAGGCTAATTTTGTTTGTTCCCCCCCGGCAAGAAGCCCATAAACCACAAGTCTACAAGCGTCAGCGTGCCCAGGACCCTCGGTATATATCGACGGCACGCAAGAGTGACCCTAGGCAAGAGTGACCTTTGGTGCGCGGCTGTAAGGGACCGCGAAGGGCCCATATCCAAGCGCGCGGGCCGGTGCTGGGGCCACCCATATGAGCCCGCACCAAGGGTCACTCTGGCGGAAGGCCACCCTTACGCGTGGCCGACGACATGGCTACGACTATGCGGCGCCAAAGTCGCAAGAGTTTCTGGCAGTGTCCTCCGTCGCCGGATCGTCCTCCGAGAGGGTGCTGCTCTCGGTCGCGTCCCCTCCGCCCACGTCTCGCCGCGGCTCCGCGGTGCTGGCGCTGGCGGCGGCGAGATCCTCTCGGAGAGGCCGGGAGAGGACCGCGCGACACCTGCGGTCGGGAACTTTTGCGTCGCGCGTCGTGGCGGCGGCCCCAGCGACGCGCCTTGCCCTGCGAGCGGATGGCGTGCCGCTCCGCGGAGCGGGAGACTAGAAAAGCTAGGGGCGCTGATGCTCAGGGACTGGAACCTGGACGCTCGGGGGGCGCCCAGGAGGAGCGTGGCAGGTTGCAGTGGCCAGGACCTGTCCCAGGCGAGGTTGCATTTGAGGCCAATTTTTTTTTCCTCACGTGGATCTTCCGACAGTCTGGCGAAGCTCCTCGTCCTAACCTCGCCCTAACCTCACTTCAGCCACGCGCCCAGGGGGGGGAGGGAGGGAGGGGGGGAGGGGGGAGGGGGGGGGGAGGGAGGGAGGGAGGGAGGGAGGGATGGAGGGGGGAGGAGGGGGAGGGGGGGGAGGGGGGAGGGAGGGAGGGAGGGAGGGAGGGAGGGAGGGAGGGAGGGAACCTGGACAGCTTGTCGCGCCGCGGCGGGGCAGGCCAGAAGCGGCGGAGCGGCGCGCGGAGCCACAGTTCCTGACAGCATCTTGGGGGCATTTCCGCCTCTCGGGACGCCTTCTGGCAGATGCGCCTCGCCGAAAGCGCTCCCAGGGTGCCCGAATCGTCGCAAGCGGCCGCCAGAGACACGATGACCAGAAAACCAAATTACGCTACCGAAGAACCCCACATACTTAACTTAAAGATGATGTGCTTACTTATTGCTTTAATATATGCGCAATCCTGCGTTATGAGCCCTCGTCGCGAATGTTTCCCTATGTGTCATCCAACGCCATATTGCTTGCCACGCTCTGCGAGCCCGCAACGGATAGGGAGACCACCCCAGCGCACCCCCTGTCGTGTCGAGGAAGTGCCACGCCTGCCACGCTTTGCGAGCCCGCAACGGATAAGGATACCACCCCCAGCGCCCCCCCCTGTGGTGTCGAGGAAGTGCCACACCTGCCACGCTTTGCGAGCCCGCAACGGATAGGGAGACCACCCCCAGCGCCCCCCCCTGTGGTGTCGAGGAAGTACCACGCCTGCCACGCTTTGCGAGCCCGCAACGGATAAAGATACCACCCCCAGCGCCCCCCCCCCTGTGGTGTCGATGAAGTGCAACGCCTGCCACGCTTTGCGAGCCCGTCAAGGATAGGGAGACCAACCCCAGCGCATCCCCTGTGGTGCCGGGGAAGTGCCACGCCTGCCACGCTTTGCGAGCTCGCAGCGGATAAGGAGACCATCCCCAGCGCACCCCTTGTGGTGTCGAGGAGATGCCACGCCTGCCACGCTTTGCGAGCCCACACGGATAGGGAGACCACCGCCAGCGCAATCCTTGTGGTGCCGAGGAAGTGCCACGCCTGCCACGCTTTGCGAGCCCGTCACGGATAGGGTCACCACCCCCAGCGCACCCCTTGTGGGGCCGAGGAAGTGCCACGCATGCCACGCTGTGCGAGCCCGAAACGGATAGGGAGACCACCCCCAACGCGCCCCCTGTGGTGTCGAGGAAATGCCACGCCTGCCACGCTTTGCGAGCCCGAAACGGATAGCGTCCCCACCCACAGCTCCCCCCCTGTGGTGTCGAGGAAGTGCCACGCCTGCCACGCTTTGCGAGCCCGAAACGGATAGCGTCCCCACCCACAGCTCCCCCCCTGTGGTGTCGAGGAAGTGCCACGCCTGCCACGCTTTGCGAGCCCGAAACGGATAGCGTCCCCACCCACAGCTCCCCCCCTGTGGTGTCGAGGAAGTGCCACGCCTGCCACGCTTTGCGAGCCCGAAACGGATAGCGTCCCCACCCACAGCTCCCCCCTGTGGTGTCGAGGAAGTGCCACGCCTGCCACGCTTTGCGAGCCCGAAACGGATAGCGTCCCCACCCACAGCTCCCCCCCTGTGGTGTCGAGGAAGTGCCAGCTTTGCGAGCCCGAAACGGGCCCCCCCATGTGGTGTCGAGGAAGTGCCACGCCTGCCACGCTTTTGCGAGCCCGAAACGGATAGCGTCCCCACCCACAGCTCCCCCCTGTGGTGTCGAGGAAGTGCCACGCCTGCCACGCTTTGCGAGCCCGAAACGGATAGCGTCCCCACCCACAGCTCCCCCCTGTGGTGTCGAGGAAGTGCCACGCCTGCCACGCTTTGCGAGCCCGAAACGGATAGCGTCCCCACCCACAGCTCCCCCCCTGTGGTGTCGAGGAAGTGCCACGCCTGCCACGCTGTGCGAGCCCGAAACGGATAGCGTCCCCACCCACAGCTCCCCCCTGTGGTGTCGAGGAAGTGCCACGCCTGCCACCCGAGCCCACGGATAGCGTCCCCACCCACAGCTCCCCCCCTGTGGTGTCGAGGAAGTGCCACGCCTGCCACGCTTTGCGAGCCCGAAACGGATAGCGTCCCCACCCACAGCTCCCCCCCTGTGGTGTCGAGGAAGTGCCACGCCTGCCACGCTTTGCGAGCCCGAAACGGATAGCGTCCCCACCCACAGCTCCCCCCCTGTGGTGTCGAGGAAGTGCCACGCCTGCCACGCTTTGCGAGCCCGAAAGGATGCCGACCCCAACTCACCCCCTGTGGTGTCGGGAAGTGCCACGCCTGCCACGATTTGCGCGCCCACGGATAGAGACCACCCCGGCTCCCCCCCTGTGTGTCGAGGAATGCCACGCCTGCCCGTTTCGAGCCGCAACGGATAGCGTCACCACCTGATCCATAGCTCCCCCCCTGTGGAGTTCGAGGAAAGTGCCCGACGCCTCTGCCACCGCTTTGCGAGCGCCGAAACGGATAGCGTCCACACCCCGCTCTCCCTGTGGTGTCGTGTAAGGCCCGCCCGCCACGCCTTGCGAGCCCGAAACGGGTAGCGTCCCACCCACAGCTCCCCCGTGATGTCGAGCCCGAAACGGATAGCGTTCCCACCCACAGCCATCCCCCTGTGGTGTCGAGGAAGTGCCACGCCTGCCACGCTTTGCGAGCCCGAAACGGATAGCGTCCCCACCCACAGCTCCCCCCCTGTGGTGTCGAGGAGTGCCACGTGCCACGCTTTGCGAGCCCGAAACGGATAGCGTCCCCACCCACAGCTCCCCCCCTGTGGTGTCGAGGAAGTGCCACGCCTGCCACGCTTTGCGAGCCCGAAACGGATAGCGTCCCCACCCACAGCTCCCCCCCTGTGGTGTCGAGGAAGTGCCACGCCTGCAACGCCCTGGGCCCCCAGTGGTGCCGAGAAAATGCAGCGCCTGCCACGCTCTGCGAGCGTGTCAAGCTGAGCTGAGCCGAGCTGTGCTGTGCTGAGCCGTGCTGGGCTGTGCTGAGCTGTGCTGAGCTGAGCCGAGCTGTGCTGTGCTGAGCTGAGCTGAGCTGAGCTGTGCTGTGCTGTGTTGCGCTGTGCTGTGTGCTGAGCTGAGCTGAGCTGTGTGCTGTGCTGAGCTGAGCTGTGCTGTGCTGTGCTGTGCTGTAATGTGCTGTGCTGTGCTTTGCTGTACGAAGAGTGAGGTGTGTGTGTGTGTGTGAGTGTCGCGGGTGCGGCGCGGCAGGGCAGAAAACCATAACCCCACGAAGCATGTGGGGAATCATGTCTGCCCGGCGAGATTCTTGGCCGCGCCACATACCATTTGCGCCACCGCGTGGGCGGTTGGCGTCTCCCACTCGCCGTCACCGCCCCGTCCTTGCTCATTCCTGTTACGTGTTCCCACTCTGCCACCGGGCCGGCCAATAGCGACCAGATCCGGGGGGGTCCCATCCTACCTGTCCGCGGGGCTGATGATGCTGCAGAGATGCTGCTGCTGATGATGCTGATGCTGATGCTGATGCTGATGCTGATGCTGATGCTGATGATGATGATGATGATGATGATGATGATGATGATGATGATGATGATGATGCTGCTGCTGCTGCTGCTGGTGCTGATGATGCTGATGATGCTGATGAGGATGAGTATGGTGATGCTGATGAGAATGAAGAAGATGAAGATGAAGATGAAGATGAAGATGAAGATGAAGATGAAGATGGAGATGAAGATGAAGATGAAGGTGATGATGCTGCTGATGATGATGATGCAAATCATGCTGCTCATGCTGATGATAACGATGAGGAGCAGGAGGAGGAGCGTAGCTGGGGGCAAAATGTCTCCACTGCCTTACCCGCCCTGCCGCCCGCGCGCCTGCAGCACGCTGCTGTCCAGCATCTGCTGGTGGAGGAGGAGGAGGAGGAAAGAGAGGAGGAGGAGGAGGAGGAAGAGGAGGAAGAGGAGGAGGAGGAGGAGGAGGAGGAGGCGGAGGAGGAAAGAGAGGAGGAGGGGGAGGAGGAAGGAGGAGCAGGAGGAGGAGGAGGAGGTGGAGGGAACCGTCCAGAACCCGTCCCGCTCCATCTCTCCTCCTCCTCCTCCTCCTCCTCCTCCCTCCTCCTCCTCCTCCTCCTCCTCCTCCTCCTCCTCCCACCTCGCCGCGCCGCGCGCGAGCCTGGCGGTCGGCCCGTGGCCTCGCCCTCCACGGCCCGACGGAGGCGGAAGGGCCAGCTCCGGGCCAGGAGAGGGGGACGTCGTCGTCGTCGTCGCCGTCGTCGTCGTCGTCGTCGTCGTCGTCGTCGTCGTCGTCGTCGTCGTCGTCGTCGTCGTCGTCGTCGTCGTGGCCGTCGTCGTCGTGGGAGCGCCGCGCTGGCAGGTTACCTCGGGGGGGGGGAGCCCGGCCTCCTCCCAGCGCCGCTCGTTCCTTGAGGCGTCGCCGCAGCCGCGTGCATGCGGGCCCTCGCCGGCAGGCCGGCGAAGGCTCCGTGGCTCTGCCGGCGGCTCGGCCCCTGCGTCGGACTGGGCGCCCACGTGCAGTTTTGCTGCTGCACTTCGCCGCACGGCCGCACAGCCGCACAGCCGCGCAGCCGCCGTCGCCGCCGCTCCCCCTGCGTTGCGTGGTGCATCGGAGCTCGGCCGAGCCTGTCTGCTGCCGTGGGCGTGCTTCTTGCCCTTCTTCTCGTCACCATCGTCCTCGCACTCTGTCTGGCCCTGGCCCCAGCTGTGGTCTGGGACGCCGTGGTGCTTCGAGGTGCCGCGGAAGGGTGGGGCGATCGAGGAAATTCCCAAATGTGACCGAAGAGGGAAGTACGTTGTGGCCGCCACAGGGAACTTCCCGGTCGTTTTGTCTGCATGGGTGTTACTCAAACGAATGGAGCGGTATCTGAACGTCGAACTTGGCATTGTGAACAACTCTTTGGCGCCACAAGAGAGATTGTATACCCAATGAGATTGAAGCCTAAAGTTAAGCATGCCAGGATATTGCTGGCATCCCGCGTTCGTGACAGCCCAGAGCAGCGTCTATTGGCGGCAAATACACATCAAACGTAACCCATGGTGACGGCGAGCGGTGGCAATCAAAAGTAGCAATCGCCAAGGGATCGGCACGTGGCAGCAGAAAGGACTTGTGGCACACCAAAAACACAGGCGAGCGCGAACAAACGACCAACATCCGAAGCACATCGCAACACTATTGGTGGGTGGCCAGCACTCCCCGAAACCAGGGCTACGGCTAGGAACTAGGAACCAGCATTCACGGCCAATCGAACCAACGGCTAGCACCCGAGTGCCAAACGAACCAGTTTCGTGGCAACCCAAAGCAGCATGTAGCTCAAGCTGGCGAGTGGAACCAGGAACCCCAGGAAGCAGAACATATTACCAACCACGGTCTTATAGCAACTTCAACGAAAACGCTCTGGGGGTCAGGGTTTCCCTCCCTTCGTCCTCTTCCCTCCTCCCTTATACTTCCCTCATATCCTGATCATCCTCGTATGCTGACTATGCGCGCAACGAAACTAACACCCGTCTTCCCCGTCCTCGTCTACCTCATCATCCTCTTTGTTTCCGACTATCCCTACCAGCCTGCTTGGTTCAAGTCCTCCTTCTCTTCCTCCTCCTCCTCCCTCCCTCTTCCTCCTCCTCCTCCTTCTCCTTCTCCTCCTCCTCCTCATCCTCCAACTCCCTCCCTCCTCCTCCTCCTCCTCCTCCTCCTCCTCCTCCTCCTCCCCCTCCTCCGCGAGCGGTTGAAATCTGCGGTCCTCGATCTTCACGCACTAAGGGGTCCCGACCTGGGCTCACATGCTCCCAGCAGGCCATTCGTTGAGGCCTGGGGGGGAGTTTGTATTGCGTGAGCCGATTAATTGCCTTTCTCCCTGCGCTATGACTTATGGGAGGGGGCAGGCGTCTTTGAAATTACGGGAGGCCCGAACCTTCCAGGACCCACACCTCCGA